TTGATGTGTGGATAAAAAACCGAGAAAAAGCAACTTTTCATTTGGTTTAGTACAATTTTTTGTGCTTTCTTTCATTGGTTTAATCTTGTTTAATTACCTGCAATAAGATTAAAGAACATAATAGGGCGAAAACGCTACTTGACTAAATTTTTGTTAGGTAGGTAAGAAAATTTTTTTGTTAGGAAGATAACTAGAAAAAGTTTCTTGAATAAGCTAATCTTTCAGCTTCCTGAGGACTTTTTTCCACTTTATTCGAGGCTTATATCAGTCGGTGCTTTACCAAGTCTTATGCGGTGTTTTTTTTTAAACGCTTTTGAGTTACCATTGTACTTGTTTAATGAGGTTATTCACCAGTAAAAGAGGAGACTAATACATTGTGAGCAGAATAAGGTTTACTAGTCAATTAAATCCTTTTTTCATTATCAAAGATTTCAGTACGAGTCGTATGTCTCAATTTCACGTTGACCATTCACTGTCATCAACTTCGTTTTTCATTTTTGACGGTGTAGTTCTAAAGTGTCTGCATAATGGATCTGAATAGATCAGATAACAGGATTCTGTTAATCTTTTTTGTCTGTAAGAGCAGCTTCTATTTTTTTTCTTTTTGGTTAGCAGATATATGGTCTTCTGTTATCATCATTGTTTTTATTTATTGATTTTTATAGTTCAAAAATTGTAATTGAAGTACTCTAGTTATCTGTAATTACCAGTAATTTAACGTGAGCAGTTTTTTTTTCGAATATTTTCAACAGCTTCAATGCTTATATAGTTTAGAACTAAAATTAACAATTTTTAGGTTTATCAGTGTTCGTTGGTGGCAACAAATTTTATCGTCTGTTTTATATCGCCGGTGTTAACCAGGATAAAAAGTTTTCTGCTCTTATAACTTCACTTTGCTGTCATTTAAAACCGCCTTGAAAGTATCTGTTCTGAGGTTGATCGATTAATTGGGAAAAAGAAAAAAAAAAGAACTTCGATCGTCATCTGTTCTTTTTTTTGTTGCTTGTTTGAAACCCGGTTCGTTGTGATCTACTGCTTTTTGTGGTGATCAGCAGAAAAATTCTGAAGACCAGGCGAATTGACCTGACCAGTTCTTTTGCTCAATAAGAGCTGAAACTAGTGCCTAGTGGTGTGAAAAGGGATAATGGTAACAATGGCCAAGCTAAATATCCCCTCGCCAACATATTTCAAACCAGCACCTTGCGAAATACAGTACGGCAAAATGCGATTCTTGATCACAGATCAGCCATCTGATCTAACAATTAATAACTTTTTGGAGGTACAGTTGCTGCATTGTTTATGGGAAGAACTAAGTTTATTGATTGTACAAATTTCCTTTCTTGGTTTATATTCTTATAGTGTCTGTCTTGTCCTTGAAATTAGCTATTGACATTTAGGAACTTGGAAAGCATAATGCACGGGCTGTCGTGAGGGTTTGTGAGCCATCTTATGAAATAACTCCGCTTGTGTCTCATGGGATTGATGTTCTTGACTGGGAATTTCTTGACGGAAATCCGCCTCCTAAAGAGGTTAGCAAGTACTAGTGGATTTTTTACTGCTGAAGAGTTTGAAAGAGCAGTAGGTACAATCACCGTCATCCACAATTCACACGTGTTTGCGAGATGTCGATCAGCTTCCTGATTTTGCAGGTCATTGATAAGTTCTTAACGTTGGCTAAAGAGATCTTCAAGCATTACCCCAACCAGTGTATTGCCGTACACTGTGTTGCAGGTTTAGGGAGGGCACCAGTTTTAGTTGCAATTGCGCTGATGGAAGCAGGCATGAGTTATGAAGAAGCAGTAGATTTAATAAGACGGTTAGTTGTCATTAATTTCTCATTACAGTTTTACCATTGCCAAGTCGTTTGAAATCTATCAGCGAGTACCAGTCCAGTTAGTTTTTCCACGTTGTTTCAACTGGAAACATTTTTCAGGCATAGGCGAGGAGCATTAAATCAAAAGCAGCTCAATTTTTTGCAAGGGTACAAACCAAGTGGGCAGCTCAGGAAGTTAAGGTATGCCGTAGATGGTAAACACGCTAAAGGGTGCTGCATACTGTGAAAGGCTGTTGCTAATTTTCCTTACACTGTTACTGTACACAGTATATTTAGCGGCTGAACATCAGTACTTTTGTAAAGGTCTTTTAGTTATGCCCGTATTGTCATCAGTTAGTCAACGAGCTACTGCAGGATGATTGAAAAATCTTCCGTATTACCTTGATTGTTTACTTTTACAGGAGTTCAAAATAATACCGCTGGTTTCATGTTTATGTAATTAGGCATCTACTTTATTATGGTCCAATGTTTCAAAGCATATTTCTGTAAATTATGAATGGACCACTTGTTCGGCCGCTCAAGCAGAAAAAACTCATTGTCTTTGCTCTTTCATTTTCTATTTATTTGTGGTACGCTTTGAGGTTTTCATATCAATGTTGACTAGAATCTTTAACTTCCTGTTTGTGTCATAAAAGTTATAAGATATATTGATATTGTGGAAGATTTATTGCTAAAAACAACATATCAATTAAAAATTTTTTTCACCAGTTTTTTGTGTAAATAGTAAAAATAATTGCTGTTCAAGCCTTATTTAAAGTGACAGAGGTTCTCTCAGCTATGTGCCGTATGAATCAGTTATAACAGTGAACAGAATAAGAATTTTCTTCTACTTTTTTCTTGCGAAATGTTTCGGAACTTCTAGTGATACAACAGTGCAAGAAGTAGAGCAGCTTATAATGAGAAACTGTATAATACAAGCAGTAGTTCATTTGCGAGTAATAGTCCACGGTACCTGAGACCCTGCAGGATCCTTCTTTGGCCCGAAGTCCTCGTCCATCGGGTCCTCGTTGGCATCCTTTTGTTCATCGTCTAAAGTAGCTTGCGACAAGTTTCAAAATACTTTCAGTGGAGGAATGACGATGCTTCTACAGTCAGTTATATCTATCCGCTAAGGATAAAACTGTTCGAGGCCTCGTCAAATGAACCGATGGAAAAGAGAATATACCACTGTAGATGAAGGGTCATAAATGCATTCGAGGAGGATGAAAATAAATGGGAAGCGGAGGAAATGTAACCAAACTGAGTTGAATAACTCAGCGAAAAAGAAGTTACTTACCATTTAGGAATTTGTTGAAATTAGCTAAGATGATACTAAATGAATGAAGATAGTTTCTCCGTTCTGTTAGCTGAAAAAGAATGGATGAAGCTGGCAGGTATTATATGCTTGGTTATAGGCAACAGATTTTTACGAGGAAAGTAACTTTGGATCTGATTTAAGCACATCTCTGAACTCCTTTTAACGAAAAAAAAAACAGCCAGGAGGAGCTGTCATTCTTCCGAAACAAAAATTCAATTAAATTGAACTGAGAGTGCTAAATAGAAAAAGCAGAAAGTAGACTTAAAATGGTTTTTTTTAAAAGAAATGATGACATTGTAGTTTTGTAAGAGAGAATAATAATTTTTTCTTACTCTGTAAATCCAGAGTCAAATACTAAGAAAATTAAACATTTAAAAGCTCAGAGTGCTCAGTAGGAGCATAATATGAAGGTATATAAAATTCTTTAATTGTTAGGAAAGTTAGTAACATTGATTGATAACCTTATACTCCAGCTTCCGCTGCCTCTCATGCAATTCTTCTAATTCGTCTTTCAGGGCAATCAGTTTTCTGTAAAAGGACACAGTGGAATCTCTTTACGAAGATGAATACAGTTAATGGTAGATTATTTTTACGGTGATTCTTACGCTGTACTTTCTTCTCTCGACGGGATTTGTTGTATCATCCCAGCTAACAACTCATACTGTTCTTTGTTTCTCCTTACACCTTTAGCTACCAGAAGGTCTTTTTTTGCTTCTCGCATCCTTTCGTACGATTCTTTTACTGATTTGTCTGCAAAACTTCAGTAATGTACAACCCTAAATAAAAAACACCGACAAAACAAGGTGTTAGAAAAATTAAAATTGGCAAAACACTGCTGAGTACAAAATTTAAAAGCCTACCGATTTCTTCAGCCAAATGTCTGTATTCTTCGATATGTTTATCATTCATGGCTGCTAACAAAACTTGCTTTTCCATCGTAATTTCTGCAGCATCGAGGGTTTCTTTTAACCAAAGCACATGACTAAAAAACTTACTTTTTTAAAGAAATGAGAAACCTGCCCGAAACTCAAGTCTAGCAACAGAGTGGAAAAATTTAAGAAACCATAACAATAGGGCAGTCTCACTTATGGATCTGAGCTGGATCCCGTTCTCGGGTGATTTTGAAGAGGTGGCTTATGAAAGTAACAAATCTCTTGTCATCTCCAGCTCCATCCCCATCGGCCGTTAGCTTACGCACAACACAGTCATCATTCATTCCAAAACTGGAACCTGCAGTACAAACTAACCTCACCATTGCATTTCAAGCAGCAAACACCTGTAAATGTCACTAACCGTAAGAGGCGACAAGTGTAAAGAAATATCTGCACAACAAATTCGAAAACAATACGGTGCATTCAACTAAAAAAAACATTTCCAAACAGGGACTGTATGCATAATCAGCAATGGCACCACTCCGCCTCCAAATCCCGTTTCTACTTGCCAAGTTAGGAGTGGCAGAATAGCCGCCAAAATTCCCTGCGTCAAGTACTCGACGATCTTGAACTCTAGCACCCCTAACTACTCACGAAAAAGGTGCTAATTGCTTTAATATCGGAAACCCACAAACGCCTGTTTTTAAACCGGAATTTAAACCACTGCTATGACGATAATCTTTTTTTAAAACCATTTGTATGGGAATAGTAGTCAAGACATGACAAGCAACAAGTAACAGTCAATCAGAGACTGTACCTGGGAATCAGTATAACAACAAATAAACAATATAGGTCAAACTTTATCCATAAATGATGTTCACAACAAAAATAACAACACATCTGCGAAATATAACGTTATTCACTCTTAGGTGCGAATTACTCTGCTGCCTTTGCTTCGTTTCGTACCTTGGTATGTTTCTTGTTGTGTTTCTTAGCAAACTTTAAATTTCGGAGGAATTTCTTGTCAACCCCCTTCATTGACATGAAACGATGCTTTTTCGGCCTCTTAATTCCATTACGATGGTCTTTCCTATCTAAATTTTCAATCTTTAGCAATGCAACAACATTAAAAAAAAACAGTGTGTCTTCAAGCAAAAAACTCTATCATCTACCAGAAATGAGTAATCCCAGGACGAGGTCTTTTACAAGATTTTATTTTATGAATCACTTTACGGGACAATAAGACATCTGCAGCATTCCCCGCAGTCACCCTCAACGAAGTTCCTGAGAGATTACTCTAAATGGCAGCTAAGAAAAATTTGAGCAGCCACATGCATGCGAACCTTTTCAAAAAACAAAGTTAGAAAGTATTTCGACTTAAAAAAGCTAGTAACTTTGAAAAAAATCAACTATTCGCAACGAAGACTGCTGAATATAGTTCCAAAAAGTTGATTATTGCCAGCATACTAGTTTTAAACCTAAAAAAATTAAAAACTGATTTGTGGCGGAGAGGCAATTCTTTACACCGAAATTTCGTGAAAAAAAATCATAACAACTCTAAAGAACGAATGATCCTTCATTACTGCCGTAATTATTCTCACAATAAAACCTCCAGTTTTTCCCACAATCCCCTCGAACTTCCCTCAGAATCACAAAATACCTTTAAAAATTTCTGACTAATCTCCTGCACAATTCAGCTTGAATCTGATTCACTTTTATTCCAAAAACAAAGTGAGAAGACACAGGAGAACCAGCAATTAGCAGATTATTACTAGCAGGCATACTCCCTACTGCTCAAAGATGAATTCCAAGCAGCTAGGTAATCTTTCCTCCACATAAATCCGAATTTCAAATGATGTTTTCGTTTTTGAAAACAACTTGGGAACTCTATTAAAAATGCTCCAGCGGTTCCTAGACTCCTCGCTCACATGCGGCACAAATTTACGGTTAGTTAAACCCTCTTCCCAGCACTAAAAATTAACTAATAAAGCGGAAAGAATAAATAGAAGAGAAACTATGGATGTTTTACAATAATGTGAGTTTTTATACAAAAATGTTCTAAAAGCAAGTGTTGATAAAAATAAATCTTAGCAAAAAGTTTAAGTATTCATTTTTTAGAATGTTCCCCTAAAGTCCCAGCACTCCATTACCTATCTGAAATAACATTAAAAATTGAAGAAATAAGGCAACTATCTGTGAAAAGCATTTTTGTTGGAAAAAAACATTAACTGCTGGACAATGTGTGTATTAAGTGATGCCGTTGCCGTGTAAAAAATGCTACACATTTTAATGACTACCAAAAAGTTGAATTCTTCCTTTATCTCTCCAAAGTACCTTCATATATATATAAATATATATGGGCCATTCCACGTCAAATCGCACACTTTT